GAGCTTCCGCTTGTTGCCGCCGCTGGGGCAGAGGGTGGGAAAGTGGCAGTGAGTGGCAGTCGTCAATGTCCAGGGCCGAGTGAGCTGCTGGAGCAACAGCCTCTCCCTCCTCTGTTCAGGAGTGCCCCACCTCCCATAGCCAGGGCTGGACTGGTTTGGATTGCCCACTTGGGCGCGTCATTCTCCTGGGCACGGAGACCAGCCGCTGCAAGGTCCCTGCGGGCACTGGGAGGGGGGCATCCTCTCCATCCAGTAATAAGGGCACAGAACCATTTGAGCTCGCGTTTTTTGTTTTTTTTTTTTAAACACATATATGAGGGAACTCAAAAAGTCATGGAAAAATGGAATTAAAGCACATATTTATTTTGGGGCAAAAAAAGCCACTTTGAAATCCATGCATAGCTGTTTTGAAATACGCATTTTCCCTGAACTTTCGAGGTCCCTTCATACAGCATTTACCAGTGCTTTGCAAGTGTGAGCTCGCTAGATCTTCAAAGGGGCCCGGAGACGGAGCCCTGCTGGAGGGGCAGAAGCCGGAGAGAGGGGAACACCCAGGACATCAGTACTGGTCTCTGGGCCCACTTTGCCGAGGAGCTCCTGACCCTGGTGTGGGCGTCCCCAGGCCCTGCCAGCGTGTGGGCTGAAGCTGCCTGGAGTCGGTGGAGCCTGGGAGTAAACAGACGCCTAGTACCCGGGCTCCTCGGCAGAACCCCAGCACCGGGCTGGCAGACACAGCAGGGTGAGGCAGCAGCGGGCTTGAAATGCAAACCTACCACGTGGAAGGCCCTGGGCGAGGCCAGGAGAAAGGCCTGTTCTCAGCCAATCCCGGCAAGAACATCAGCTGGGGCACCTGCCAGTCCTCAGACGTGTGAACTGGTCCCAGGTCTCCTCAGGAGCCCAGGACCAGCCGAAGAGATGCCCGGGGCAGCCCAGGCCACCACGCCATGCCGCAGAGGGCTTTGACCCGCGTCCCTCCTGCGGGGCTGGCGGCCGGGCGAGGGCACCCCACCTCACCTGTAGGCCTTCACCAGCTTGTGCGCGTGCGTGCCCATGACCAAGTCCTCCAGAATCTGGTCCACGCAGGTCCCGATGTGGCGCTCAGGGATGCCCTGGATTCGGGCATACATGACCAGCGGCTCACGGCCCGTCAGGCGGTGAACTGCGGACAGTAGCTGATCCACCGCCGCACCTGGGGTCAGAGCGCAGCCGGAGAACAGGTGAGTCAGATGTCTCCCGCCCAGTCTGAGCCTCCGTCCAGGTGGGGGCCTTGTCCCGGTCCAGCCTACCCCCACCCCCCAGCAAACAGACGTATGCACGGCAAATGGGCCACCCTGGGGGACTGCAGTGACATGGGGAGCCTGGGCCACGGCGGCCTAACTGGGGGTGCACGTGTGAGGGCTGGCTGCTCCTGCTCATCCGGCCTGAAACCTCAGTGCCCAGCGCCTTCATCTTAGGGGTCACACTCGAAGGGGCTGGTCAGTGAGGAGACTCACTCTAATCTTTCCCTGTTCTAGAAATATTTTCTAGCGGACATCTTGTCTGTAAATAGGTTTTCTCTTTATAGAGAGATTTTTCTTTGCTATAGGGCGCATGTACTTGTTGCATAGACAGACAGAAAGTGAGAAATCACCCCCCAGGGAGGATGGCCACTCCCCAGTCCCTTCTCCACTCTCTTCTCGGGATCCTGGTCGGGACCCTGGGCGTGCACGTGCACCCAGCTTGTTTTTCAAGCTGCCAGGTCCAAACTTGAATAGACTTGGCCATGTGGGTCCAGGTCCAAACTTGAATAGAGTTGGCCAGGTGGGTCCAGGTCCAAACTTGAATAGAGTTGGCCATGTGGGATCCAGTGCCTTAACTTGAATAGAGTTGGCCATGTGGGTCCAGTGCCTTAACTTGAATAGAGTTGGCCATGTGGGTCCAGGTCCAAACTTGAATAGAGTTGGCCAGGTGGGTCCAGGTCCAAACTTGATGCCCAAACTTGAATAGAGTTGTGCATGTGGGTCCAGTGCCTTAACTTGAATAGAGTTGGCCATGTGGGATCCAGTGCCTTAACTTGAATAGAGTTGGCCATGTGGGTCCAGGTCCAAACTTGAATAGAGTTGGCCATGTGGGTCCAGTGCCTTAACTTGAATAGAGTTGGCCATGTGGGATCCAGTGCCTTAACTTGAATAGAGTTGGCCATGTGGGTCCAGGTCCAAACTTGAATAGAGTTGGCCATGTGGGTCCAGTGCCTTAAGTTGAATAGAGTTGGCCATGTGGGTCCAGTGCCTAAACTTGAATAGAGTTGGCCATGTGGGTCCAGTGCCTTAACTTGAATAGAGTTGGCCATGTGGGGTCCAGTGCCTTAACTTGAATAGAGTTGGCCATGTGGGTCCAGGTCCAAACTTGAATAGAGTTGGCCATGTGGGTCCAGTGCCTTAAGTTGAATAGAGTTGGCCATGTGGGTCCAGTGCCTAAACTTGAATAGAGTTGGCCATGTGGGTCCAGTGCCTTAACTTGAATAGAGTTGGCCAGGTGGGTCAAGGTCCAAACTTGAATAGAGTTGGCCAGGTTGGTCCAGGTCCAAACTTGAATAGAGTTGGCCATGTGGGGTCCAGTGCCTTAACTTGAATAGAGTTGGCCATGTGGGGTCCAGTGCCTTAACTTGAATAGAGTTGGCCATGTGGGGTCCAGTGCCTTAACTTGAATAGAGTTGGCCATGTGGGGTCCAGTGCCTTAACTTGAATAGAGTTGGCCATGTGGGGTCCAGTGCCTTAACTTGAATAGAGTTGGCCATGTGGGGTCCAGTGCCTTAACTTGAATAGAGTTGGCCATGTGGGGTCCAGTGCCTTAACTTGAATAGAGTTGGCCATGTGGGGTCCAGTGCCTTAACTTGAATAGAGTTGGCCATGTGGGGTCCAGTGCCTTAACTTGAATAGAGTTGGCCATGTGGGGTCCAGTGCCTTAACTTGAATAGAGTTGGCCATGTGGGGTCCAGTGCCTTAACTTGAATAGAGTTGGCCATGTGGGGTCCAGTGCCTTAACTTGAATAGAGTTGGCCATGTGGGGTCCAGTGCCTTAACTTGAATAGAGTTGGCCATGTGGGGTCCAGTGCCTTAACTTGAATAGAGTTGGCCATGTGGGGTCCAGTGCCTTAACTTGAATAGAGTTGGCCATGTGGGGTCCAGTGCCTTAACTTGAATAGAGTTGGCCATGTGGGGTCCAGTGCCTTAACTTGAATAGAGTTGGCCATGTGGGGTCCAGTGCCTTAACTTGAATAGAGTTGGCCATGTGGGGTCCAGTGCCTTAACTTGAATAGAGTTGGCCATGTGGGGTCCAGTGCCTTAACTTGAATAGAGTTGGCCATGTGGGGTCCAGTGCCTTAACTTGAATAGAGTTGGCCATGTGGGGTCCAGTGCCTTAACTTGAATAGAGTTGGCCATGTGGGGTCCAGTGCCTTAACTTGAATAGAGTTGGCCATGTGGGGTCCAGTGCCTTAACTTGAATAGAGTTGGCCATGTGGGGTCCAGTGCCTTAACTTGAATAGAGTTGGCCATGTGGGGTCCAGTGCCTTAACTTGAATAGAGTTGGCCATGTGGGGTCCAGTGCCTTAACTTGAATAGAGTTGGCCATGTGGGGTCCAGTGCCTTAACTTGAATAGAGTTGGCCATGTGGGGTCCAGTGCCTTAACTTGAATAGAGTTGGCCATGTGGGGTCCAGTGCCTTAACTTGAATAGAGTTGGCCATGTGGGGTCCAGTGCCTTAACTTGAATAGAGTTGGCCATGTGGGGTCCAGTGCCTTAACTTGAATAGAGTTGGCCATGTGGGGTCCAGTGCCTTAACTTGAATAGAGTTGGCCATGTGGGGTCCAGTGCCTTAACTTGAATAGAGTTGGCCATGTGGGTCCAGTGCCTTAGCCACATGCCACTTGCTGGCCCCAAATACCCATTTTTCCCATCCTATTCCTATTTTTCCCTTTGTCCTCCTTTCCTTCAAGCAGCTGGACAGCTCTGGGCTCCACTGCCTCAGGTTGGAGAGGGGAGGATGGGAGCAAGACCGAAAACCACCTGGAGTGTGTGCTTAGGGAAGAGGGGGAGGGCTGTCACCATGGAAGAATGTCTGCAGAAACTTCACACCACTGGGGCCAGGCTTTGGGCCCCAGCCAAAGCTCCCTGGAAACAGGTCTCCAGGTCTTGTAGGAACTGCCCAGAACAAAGACACATTTCTTGAATGAGGATGCTCCAGGGTTCACTATTAAATATGAAGATTTTTGATGGATTGCCTTTATCGAGCTATTCATTTTAAAAAAGAGTTATTTAAGGGACTAGCAGATGGCATAATGGTTATGTTATTGGATTCTCACATAGTTGACTATGGTTCAAGTCCTGGACCTGGCAACCTAAAACTCACAACAGGACCATGGGCATGCATGCCCAAAATTCCAAGAGGAGAAGGGATTGCAGCATGGTTATTCCCCCTGGGGGTGATTTCTCGCCTTCTGTCTCTCTGTCTCTCCAATGAGCACATACGCCTTATGGCAAAAATCTCTCTAAAAAAAGGAAAAATAATTATAATTTTATTTATTATTATTTTTATTATTTTGTTATTATTGTTAAATTTGCTATAGGGCATGCACGCTAACCAGAAAGAGACAGAGAGAGAGAACATGAGACAGCAAGTTGCTAGGTCCTAGACTTGAACTGCAGTTGGCCATGTGGGTGTTCAGCACATTAACTACCCTCCAGCCCTTTATCAAATTATTTAAACATTTCTTCTAGTTTGTTAAGAATATTTTAAAACATAAGTGAGGGCCAGCAGGTGGCGTGGTGGTTAGGGCACTGGACACCCAGGTGGCTGACGGTGGTTAGAGTCCCAGAGCTGGTGGCTTTCTCACACTCCCCCCCATTTCGCGTATTTATTTCCTTAGCCAAAGCATGTGGGGCTGTGTCCTGGTGACTCACTAGGGTCACAAATGACTGCTATAGTTTATAAGCCATAACACTCCTTAAACTCAAGAATAAGGGGGAAGGGGTCATTATGTATTTTTTTTAAGGTTTTTGCCATAGGGCACACGCACTTGACAAAGAGAAGAGAGACAGGGAAAGTGAGTAAAAAACAAGAAACTATCCCCCAGGGGGGATGGTTACACTGCAATTCCCTCTCCTCCATTCTCTTCCTGGGATTCTGGGCATGCAATTACATATGCTCAGTGCAATTCTCCAGCTGCCAGGTCCGGGACTTAACCCGCGTTTGACTATGTGGGAGTCCAGTGACATAGCCATTACGCTAACTGCTGGTCTGCCTATTTATTCTTAATTTGACCATAGAGGGACATGGAGAGAGAGGGAGAGAGAGAAAGTGAGAAAGCAAGCCACCAGGTCCAGGACTCGAATCCTGGTTGGCCATGTAGGAGTCCAGCACCCTTAACCACCATGCCACCTGCCAGCCCCAAGTGTTTTTTTTTAACCTTAGGGTGCACACACTTGTCATAGAGAGACAGAGATGGTGAGAGGGAAAGTGAGAAATCAACCCCCCCGCCCCAAGGGAGGATGGCCACACCATAGTCCCTTTTCCCCTATTCTCTTCCTGGGATCTTGGGCATGCATGTACACATGCTTGGTGTGATTTTCAAGTCACCGGATCTGGGACTCAAATTGTAGTCGGCCACGGGAGTCCAGCAACATAACTGCTATGCCGTCAGCTGGACCCTCATTATTATTATTTTCTAAATTGCCACCAGGTCCAGGACTCAAACCACGCTGACTCCAGCATCTATTAATAAATATTGGGACCAGCAATTGGCGTAATGGCTATGTTGCTGGACTCCCACATAGTTGACCATGGTTCGAGTCCCAGACCCATGGCTTAAACTCACGCCGGGTGCATGTGCATGTGTGCCCAAGATCCCGAGAGGAGACTGGAGGAGAAGGGATTACAGCGTGGCCATCCCCCCGGGGGATGATTTCTCGCTTTCTATCTCTCTGTCTGGTGAGTGCACACACCCTATAGCATAAACCTGTCCAAAAATAAATAAATAAACAAATAAATAATCCCTCCTGTAAGCTATCCAGGTGATGATGTGTATTGGTGAGTTTTAAATAAGCGCTAAGACCGTGCCCTTGCTTTTTCTTCCATTCACGATAGAGCATGTGTGCTCACACGGGGCAGAGGGAGAGGAGTGCCCTCCCCACGATCTGGTCGCACTGTCCTCAGCCTGCAGGATCGTGGCTTCACGTGCATGCCTCAGGTGCGTCACGTGGCCTGGGCCAGCCACATGAACTGTGGCCACCATGGACCTGGCTCCTCCTGAGCAGCACGTCAGGGCTGCACCGTGGAGCCAGCTAGTCCTGTTGGCGATCTCGCACGGTGACCGCCGCTGGCCCGTGACCGGCTCCCTGGGCTGCACCTGACTGGACCTGTCTCCTGTGCTTGTGACGCTCTGCTGCTTTCACACCGCCAGTCTCACTCGGCTGCTGCGTGCCTGGGCGGTGGGCCTGAGCTCGAGCTGGGCACCCTTTGTCTGCTTTCTGCGATCATGGATGGCTGGAAGGCACTCCACGAGCCCCAAACTTCCGAGTGGGTCACATGAGAAGGAAGCCGGCAGCTCTAGGGCTCCAGTTAGTCCCCTCAGACCTGGGCTGTTTTTTTTTTTTTTTTTTTTTTTGAATTTTTTTATAGATATTTTTGCTATAGGGCATGTGCACTTGCTGGAGAGGCAGAGAGAGACAGAAAGTGAGAAATTAGCCCCCTAGGGAGGATGGCCACACCATAACCCGCCCCCCCTCCACCACCACACACACACTCCTTCCCCTGCTCCCTGCTCCACTCGGGATTTTGGGCATGTGCCTGGCATGAGTTTCAAGTCATCGGGTCCAGGACTCAAACCCTGGTTGACCATGTGGGAGTCCAGTGCCTACTCACTGCCACCTACACCACCTGCTGGCCCCAGCCCAGGGTCTTCTAAGGGGTAGATCTTTGACTGTCACTTCAATTTTACCTCCAGTCTTAGCCTATGCAAGTTTCTATTTTTTGAACCAATTTAGGTATAGAGGGCTTGAAAATGTGATTTGATTGAAAGAAAACGAAGAAATGTAATGTTTCTTTCTCTCTTTTTTCTTTTTCTTTTTTTTTTCTTTTGAGATTTTTGCTATAAGGTGTGTATGTTTGTTGGACAGAGAGAGACAGAAAGTGAGAAATCACCCCTCGGGGGGGTGGCCATGCACAATCCCTCCTCCTCCATTCTCCTCTCTTGATCTTGGGCACGCACGCACGCGCGCCCGGCACGAGTTTCAGGTTGCTGTGTTGGGACTCTAAGTATGTCGACCATGTGGGAGTCCAGTGCCATACCACTATGCCGCCCGCTGGCCCTGAAATGCTGCGTTTCTCACTCACCTGGGTTGAAGGGAATGCACACCTGTCACCTGAGACGGCTCCGAAGGAGAGGCAAGGAGCCCGCACACACGCTGTGGCCCGTGGACCGACCGCCCTCCCTGGGGCTATGGAGCCAAGGCAGTGAGTGAGTCTCCTGTTCCTGTAACCTGGCCTCTCAGGAGCTGCTGCTGATTTCTAGAAAAGCAGGTGACTCTGATACGAATGTGGGGTTTTTAAAATAATAATTTTTATTTAACTTTAATTTGACCAAAGAGGGACAGAGTGAGAGAGAGAGCAAGCGAGCCAGGTCCGAGACTTGAACCACGGTCCGTCATGTGGAGTCCAGCGCCCTTAACCACCACGCCACCTAAGATGCTTACAACAGCGTGGAGGAGCCAGCAGGGGCCATAGTGGTTAAGGGGATGGGCTCCCACATGGCTGACTACGGTTCGAGACCCAGACCTGGTGGCTTGTTTTCTCACTTGCCCTCTCACCCCTGTCTCTCTCTGGTCAAATTAAAATAATAATAATTAGTAAAATTAAATAAATAATTTAAAAACCTGTGCAGGTAAGTGTGGCTGGCAGGAGGCCCACAAAGGAAGTGAGCAGGGTACGGCTAGTTAGGGCTGGCTGGGTGCGGGCTCGCGGTGGAGCAGAGAGAGGCAGGGCTGAGGCAAACGACATCAGTAAACCCCGCATCTCCAGCAGCGAGTCCCCGTCGGCTGCCGGGAGGCACCGTGTACACAGGTCCCAGGACAACTAGCCAGCTGGGAGGGTGAGGGCCTTGTAGGCCGACGTCACTTCATTTTAAATAATACAGAAGAATACGCCATGACTTTCCCAATAACCCAATAAAACATTCTCATCATCTGAGCTTAAGGAATAAGGCCCATACCTTTTTACTTTTTCAAGATTTTTTCTTCCATGATAAGAGAGACAGAGACAGAAGCAGAGAGAGAGAGCACTCCCGTGTGCTTAGGGAGTTCCCCGGATACGAACCCAGGACCCTCCCATGTGGGACAGCCTCGCAGCACGCTGTGTTTTACCCAGCCCCCAGGCTCGTACCTTCTACACGAGCCCCAGTAGATTTCAGAGGGGCCCCGTCCAGGTCCACCTGCCTCGTCCTATGCGCTCTCCCGCTCTCCCTTCCTCATTATTTATTTATATGTTATTTACACGCTGCTGCATGGCACACTGTTCTAGAGCTTAGGTGTCGTTTCTGACTCTGCTGTAGGGTATGTGCACTCGCCAGAGAGAGAGAGAAGGGAAGTGAGAGAGCACTCCCCGGGGGTGGCTGCAACCCCTTCTCCTCTCGGGCTTTTGCCCCAGCTGCCTTCACTTTTCCCCCGGCTGCCTTCCCCACCCCGCCATTGGCTGCCTCAGCTGTAATTTTATCTCATGGTCTCCATGGGTCAGACCAGGAATCTGGGAGCAGCTTGGCTGGGTGGTTCAGCTGGGATAGGAGGACTGTTGTCTTTTTTTTTTTTAGAAAGAGAGATTTTTGCTATAGGGCACGTGCACTCGCTGGGGAGACAGAGAGAGACAGAAAGTACGTGTGAAATTACCTCCCAGTAGGGAAGGCCACGCCGCAATCCCTTCTCCTCCATTCTCCTTTCAGGATTTTGGGCAGGCATGCACATACGCCTGGCATGAGCTTTAAGCCACTGGGTCCGGGACTCGAACCACATGGACCTCATGAGAGCCCAGTGCTGTAACCAGTAGCCATCTGCTGGTCCCAGGACAGTTGTCTTTTATCATTTGAGGCCGAGGGTAATGTTACTTTCCTCTAGAGAAGACTTCCATTGTTTCTCCTGGGAGACTGGGAGCACTCACTTCGGAGGCTGATGGGGCCCAGCAGCTTGGGACCAGCGCACGGGCTTGACTACGGGCAGGCCAGGCCACATCTGGGGCGCAGCCCTGCAGGCTCTCAACTCACAGAAACGACGTGCTCCCCAGGCGCTTCCTGTCCCCGGCAGCCCAGCACCAATCCCTGTCACGTGAGCAGGAAGAGTGGCCCTCAGCCCTCAGCCCCAACCTCCCGCTGTCCCCTCCCTGGGCCTCGGCCCTCTCCTCTCCTCACCCCTGCCCCAGTAAAGCCCTGCTCACTTGCTAGCTTACGGAAGCCTCGACACAGACCTGTTAATTCCCGGTCCAACCAGGTAGCTGATGGGAGCCCCACGCCTGCCATCAGCAGACTGCGCCCCTGATCTGCAGATAACAAACCCTCGAGCAGTTAGTAGGTGTCTCATGGCCCTGAGAGGCTTACACCGGCTGTGCTTGTTCAATAAAGCTATGTATACCAGGGAATTTATACGTGGGTTCTGGGGTCAGCAGGTAGCATGCTGGCTAGGGCCCTGGATCACACATGGCTGACTTCACGGTTCAAGTCCTGGACCTGGCGAGCTTGAAAAAATAACATTGGAGTCATGTGCACACATGCCCACAATCCCAGGAGGAGAAGGGACTGCAGCGTGGCCATCTCACCTTGGGGATGATCTCTCACTTTCCTTCTCTCCTTGTGTCTCTGTCTCTCTCCAGTGCATGCACATGCCTTATAGCAAAAAAAAGGAAAAAGGAAAAAACCCCTTAAAACCAGAGAAGCACGTGTTCTGAAACTAGTCTGTGTGGGCTCTCGTGCTTCCTCTCGGAACATCTCAGAGCCTTCGAGGCCGCTGCGATACAGTTACCGGCAAGAGCATGGCTTTGCCCCGGCCTCTGCAGCGCAGAACCCCGGCCTATCACACCTCCTGCTGTCACGCTGACCTCACTGCAGGACGGCTCTGAAAGTGAGAGCCACTGGGTTGAGCACAACCGAGGTACATTCTAAGAGTCCAACAGCGTCTCATTGAATCTGTGTCCATGTTGAGGAAGACCCCCAAGGACAGGGTCAAGACCAAGGGGTAGCAAATACATCTGCGTTCCACTTGTGCGCTTCCCAGGAAGGCTGACTGTGAGGCACCTGTCGGTTGGTCTGAAGCACATGTCGGAGTCGGACTGGGACTCCTCGGAAAACACGCGGTGACGGTAGTGGGGGTCAGGGCAGTGGCTAGGCCCTGCCAGGGGCAGCCGGAGCAGAGTAAGTATGACGGTGGGCCAAAGGCGCGGCCCCAGGCAACACTGACCTAACGGGCCATGACCGAAAGGTTCTGAGCAGGACGCTACAGAGGGCCAGAGAGGGAGGAGGCTGGACCTTGAGGAAGCAGCCGGCACCATGGGCTGCCGCAGAGAGACTTCGAGCAAGATGCAGACGGACATGGGAGCCCTTGTCCAGGGTGAATCCTAAAGACCAGGGCGGAGAGGCCCAGGAGCTGCCCCAGAGGGACCGTCCACGGCCTGCTCTTGCTGCCTGGAGGCCGTGAGGGTGCATGCCACTCACGCCCTGGGAAGCCCGGGGGAGAGGGAGGTAGGGCATGGAGACACTCTGGGGGACCCGGGGGAGGGTCAAGAGCTCATGTGAGGGAGCAGCTCGTCGGCTGGCCGGTGGGGAGCTCAGAGAAGTGGTCTCAGCAGGGCTGGGGGTCTGAGGGCCGCAGGCGAGCTGGTGCATGGGGATGTGAGGGCAGTCCCACCCGGCCCCTCTGCGGAGCCCCATGTCACCCCCAGTGCCTGCCCATGCCTACCTTCCTCACTTTGGCGCTGATACTGAGGCCCCTGATAAAGGCATCTCCGGAGGTGATGGGCGTCTCGCCGGTCAGCATTCTGAAGATGGACGTCTTCCCGGCTCCGTTGACGCCGAGAAGGCCAAAGCACTCCGCTGCTTGGACAGTGAAGGACACCGTGTTCACGGCCAGCAGGGGCGCGTTCTTGACATAGACCTGGGACACAGACGCGACAGCGGTGGGGCGGCCGGCGTTCTGGACCGTGGCTGGGGCCCCAGCTGTCCTCGGTCCAGGCGTGTGCTCTTACAAAGGTCCTGAGTGAAGGCTCTCGGTCCTATTGTCCCTGCCCTCAGGAAGGCGAAGGGGCCCTCGTGCCCACTGTGGCCCCCACGTGTGGTCCTCTACACCCAGGAAAGGGCCAGTCACGGTCTCGGGGTTCATGGCTCTGGCTCCTTTGTCTCCCAGGGGCTGGCAGAGAACAGTGGAGGGCTGAAGCGCTTGTTTCTGTCTCTGGGTACACAAAGCAACTCCGATGGGATTCGTCCTGCAGGAAGCCTCGCTCTGGGCCGGTGACCTGGAAACCGAGTCTGCTAATTCTCTAAGTGCCGCAGGCTGGCCCCCTAGTGCCGGCCAGTTCCTTCTGCGAATGGCCCAGCGCCCTATGGCAGACTGTAAGAGTAACAGTCTTGGGACCAGCAGTTAGTGTAATGGCTATGTCACTGGACTCCCATGTAACTGACCGCAGTTCGAGTCCCAGATCCTGTGGCTTAAACTCACGCTGGGCGGGGCGTGCGTGCCCAAGATATTGGAGAATGGAGGAGAAGGGATTGTGGCGTGGCCATCCCCCCTGGGGAGTGATCTATTTCTCTGTCTGTCTGTCTGGCGAGCGTACGCGCCCTATAGCAAAAACCTCTCCAAAAGAAAAGCGCCACAGCCTTGACTTCCGAGAGCCACGCCTGCTCCTACCTTCGACACCTCTTTGACGACCAGTGGGTTCCTCTCACGCAGCGCTTCCAAGTGGGTCTTGACGGCTTCCGCCTCCTCCTTCACATCTTGGTCTTCAGACAACGCCACATTCTGCACCTCGGCCTACATTCCCAGACAAGGATGGAAAACGGGACGGTTTTTGCAAAGGTAGGAGGTAGAGCCAGGGGAAACCTTGGGCTGGGCTCTCCCTGGGAAGGCCTCGAAGGCACGCCAGCCACCTCGGTTCTCACACACGCCCCCGCCCCGCCTCGCCCATCCCGGGAGCAATGCAGGTGTTTCATACGAGGTCGGGCTGCGTCACCGATGTGTCCGCGATACGGTGGACATGGACACTTGGCGGGAAGCCTGGGGATGTGGCCCTGTGATCAAAGGCGCAGTGTCGTGGCACAGGGCCACGTGGGAGGGCTAGGCGGGTCCCAGGTCAGACTCACAGGCACGCTCGTGACCCTGGGCGGCCGGGGGGCTGGTGGAGGTGGGACCACGGTACAACAAGACCCCGCCGAGAGCACCTTGCTTCCTCCCTCTCTCAAGAAAGAAAGAACTTTTAAAAAATGAAAGGAGATGAAATATAAAGAAAAGACAACTTTCTTTTTTAAAAAATTATTTCATTTTATTTATCATTACTATTATTTTTCAATTCGTGACAAGATATATATGCTCACTAGCAAGAGACAGAGAGAGAGAGAGGGAGAGAGTGAGAAAGCCTGCTGCCAGGTCTGGGACTTGACCCGCGCCTGGCCGTGTGGGAGTCCAGCACCTTAACCAGACACCACCTGCTGGGCCCCGAAGGATAATTTTTTGACCTCTGGAAGATAATCAGATCAAGAGCTGACAAAGACCTTTTCCCTGCCTGGATCGTGGACGGCCGCGGAGAACGGGTGTCCGGGGATGGGTTTTCGGAAGCCGGGGGGTCTTGTTTCTGCGTGGCTGACTAGCAGGCCTGGAAGCATTTCAGGTGGCCAGCCTGAGTTGCTCTGCCTCTCTGGGGGTCCCTAGGCATAGGCTGTCATCTCTCTGTCTGAGAAGGAGCCAGTGGTCCCTCTGATGCTGAGACTCAAGGCAGCCACAGACCTAGGGAGAAGCTGCGGAGGCCGGGCCTGGACCTGCTCCTCAGCGCCTTAGTGTCCGACCCACTCACCAAAGTGTGCTTCCTGTAGAAGCCAGCAAGCCCAGTCCTCAGTCTCCAGAGCGTGTTGGTCTCGACGATGAGCAGCAGGGTGATGAGCAGCGGTCCTGAGACAGCCAGCGCCGCCAGGTACTTCCCCATGCCCAGGGACTCCCAGGCGTAGATGTTCTCCTGGACCACATAGCCCTCCGCTGACGCGGGGCAGACACAGTTACCACCCTTCGTGTGGTTCTCAAAGCCATTTTCCACTTTTCAATAGAGTAGGCAAATTCCTATCACAAGTATCATTTAAAAGAAGGATTATTGGGGCTGGCAGGTGGTATGGTGGTTACGGCACTGGATTCCCACCAGTTCAAGTCCCGGACCTGGTGACTTGCTTTCTCACTTCCCCCCAATCTCTTTCTCTCTCTGCTCCAACTAAAATAATAATAAGAAGAAGTACAATTAAATAATAAAGTAATTCTTTAAAAAAAGGAAGGATTATTACCATGAATGCTGTTACTGCAACCCAGCAAATGGTAAACATGAATCCTATTGGGTCATAGGAAGTCATGACACAGTTTCACATAGAAAATTATGTCATGCCTTTTCTGAGGACTATATAAAATCCTATATATATTTATATTATCTATATAAATAAATAATTTTTTCTTTTTAATTTGCCGTAGGGCAGGTGTGCTCATGAGAGGGGGCAGAGAGCGAGAAAGGGAAAGTGAGAAAGCACCCCCAGGGTGGATGGCCGCACCACAATCGTCCTCTGTCCTTTCTCCTGTCGGGATTTCCGGCGTGCACGCATGCACATGTGCCCAGCCTGGGACCCGGACCGTGCGGTTGGCATGCGGGACCCAGCTGCCTTCACCACCACGCCATCACTGGCCTGAATGGGAGTGTCTTGTCCTCCTTGACATAACCAAGTAACGCAGTAAATCGAAGCGTTCCTCATGTTGTACAGCACACGACAAATACATGCGTTTTCTTTGTCGATAAAAATAAAAGGCTGGGCTGGTAGGTGGCATGGTGGTTAAGGGTGGCCTGGACTCCCATAGCTGACCATGGTTTGAGTCCCAGACCTGGAAGATTGCTTTCTCATTTTCCCTTTCTCTGTCTCTCTCTGGTCAACTTTAAATAAATAAAAAAATAAATAAAGACAATGAATAAAAGTTTTTTTTTTTTTTGAGTGGTTTTTGCTATAGGGCACATACGCTCACCAGACAGAGAGAGACAGAGAGACAGAAAGCGAGAAATCACCCCCCAGGGGGAATGGCCACGCCACAGTCCCTTCTCCTCCATTCTCCTCTCGGGATCTTGGGCACGTACGCACACGCGCCCGGTGTGAATTTTAAGCCACTGGGTCTGGGACGCGAACCGCGGTTGACTATGTGAGTGTCCAGTGACATAGCCATTATGCTAACTGCTGGTCCCTAATAAAAGATTTTTTAAAAAATATTCTTAAAAAAAAAAAAAAAAAAAGAGAGAGACCGAGGGCCAGCAGGTAGTGTGGTGGTCCAGGCACTGGACTCCTACAAAACCGCCCATGGTTTAAGTCCGGACCCAGCAGCCTAAAATGATGCTGAGTGCATGTGGGTACAAGCCCAAAGCCCCAGGAGGAGAATGGAGGAACGGGGATTACCGCATGGCTGTTCTCCCTGGGGGTGATTTCTCACATTTCCTCTCTCTCTCTCTCTCTCTCTCTCTGGCAAGTGCCTGTGTCCTGTGGCAAAAACCTTAAACAATAACTAAAATAAAAGCCCTCCCGGGTTCGTCTCCTACCGATGGTCACTCACGCTGCGATTTTCGCTGACCGCTTGCGTGACACACGTAGGAGCTGCCATTCTCTGTCTGACCCACCTGAAAAGTGTCCTCTTAGGGCCAGCAGGTGGTGAAGGTTAAGCTGCTAGACTCCCACTTGGCCGACTGCATGGTTCAAATCCCAGACCCAGTGGCTTGAAAACCACACCTGGCAGGGCCAGCAGGTGGCATGGTGGTCGAGGCACGGGACTCCCACATAGCCAACCATGGTTTGAGTCCTAGACCTGGAGGCTTCCTTTCTCACTTTCTCTCACGCTCTCTCTCTGTCTCTGGTGAGCACATGTGCCCTATAGCAAATTTAAAAAAAATAGTAATAATTAATCAGAAGAAATAATTATTTTTTCTTTTTCTATTCTTTTTTTTTTTTCTTTGAGAGGTTTTTGCTACAGGGCATGTGCACTCGCCAGAAAGACAGAGAGAGAGACAGAGAGACAGAAAGCGAGAAGTCACCCCCCAGGGGGGATGGCCACGCCGCAATCCCTTCTCCTCCATTCTCCTCTCGGGATCTTGGGCACGCACGCACATGTGTCCGGCGTGAGTTTAAGCCACCGGGTCCAGGACACGAACCGCAGTTGACTACGTGGGAGTCCAGTGACATAGCCATTATACTAATTGCTGGTCCCCAAATTAAATAATTCTTAAAAAAAAAAAAAAAGAAAGAAAGAAAGAAAAGAAAATCACACCAGGCATGTGTAATAAGTGCCCAAGATCTCTTGAAGAGAATGGAGGAAAAGGGATTGTGGCATTGCCATCTCCCCAGGGAGGTAATTTCTCACTTTCCTTCTCTCTCTCTCTCTCTCTCTCTCTCTCTGGAGAGTGTATGTGTCCTATAGCAAAAACAAAAATCATTTTAAATACATGTATTTTTGAATTATACAATAAATACACACTCATCAGGAAAAGACAGGCATGCAGGAAGTAAGCCCACGTGTGTTCTCATGCGCAAACTGCCGTTCTGGCTCTGTGCAGCCTCCCTGTCCCCAGCTCACCTTCCCGGCACCGTGTGCCACCCCTGGCTCTCGTGTACTAGGGCTGCTTAGTGACGCTGGCCACGCAGGGCATGCGGGCAGAGCAGCTCCTGTGACGTCTGCACACGTCGTTGTACAGACGTGTGATCTCCCTCTGCAACATCAGGCCTCTTACTTCCACAGGGTACATTTTTTTAAATTATTTTTTTTAAGTTTGCTATAGGGCACATGTGCTCACGAGAGAGCGAGAGAGCGAGAGAGGGAGCCTCCAAGTTCCCGCTCCAGGGGAGTCCAGCACCTAACTGCCATGCTACCTGCTGGCTCCGACAACAGAGGTTATTGCTATAGGGCACCTATGCTCACTGGAGAGAGAGACAGAGAGACAGAGATTATGGCTATAGGCGCCTGTGCTCGCTGGAGAGAGACAGAGAGACAGAGGTTATTGCTATAGGGCACCTATGCTCGCTGGAGAGAGAGACAGAGAGACAGAGGTTATTGCTATAGGCGCCTGTGCTCGCTGGAGAGAGAGACAGAGAGTCAGAGGTTATTGCTATAGGCGCCTGTGCTTGCTGGAGAGAGATAGAGAGACAGAGAGACAGAGGTTATTGCTACAGGCGCCTGTGCTTGCTGGAGAGAGACAGAGACACAGAGGTTATTGCTCTAGGGCGCCTGTGCTCGCTGGAGAGAGAGACAGAGAGTCAGAGGTTATTGCTATAGGCGCCTGTGCTTGCTGGAGAGAGACAGAGACACAGAGGTTATTGCTCTAGGGCGCCTGTGCTCGCTGGAGAGAGAGACAGAGAGACAGAGAGACAGAAAGAGAGAAATCACCCCCAGGGAATGGCCATGCCTCAATCCCTTCACCTCTTAGGATTTTGGGCACACATATCGGCGTGATTGATTTTCTTTTCAATTTGCCAGAGGGCATGAGCGTGCGCCAGAGAGAGAGCACCCGTGGGGATGGTCCCACTGCAACCCTCTCCCTCCATGCCTCTCTCTCTCATGCTCTGCACATGCACACACAAGCCTGGGAGGGTTCTCAAGCTGCCTGGCCCAGGACTTGAACAACGTGGCTGGCCATTTGGGATACAGCCACGTTAACCATCATGCCGTGGGCTGGCCCTCTTTATGAATTAAACAGTATCATTTAATATTAATGAAATTCCTATGTGATCTGTGCTCTCCTTTCTCTTTCTCTCTTTTAATTGGTGGAGGGTGTGTGTGCTCACTAAAGAGCGCCCGCCCCACCCCCGCCCCAAGCACGGCCTGCTGATGCCACAACCCTTCCTCCTCCGCGTCTCCATCTTGGCACGGTCTGGCCCATGCACACACATGAACCTGACATGGATTTCAAGCCTCTGGGTTCAGGATTCGAACCAAGGCCGGCCATGTGGGACCCTGCTCCCAGACACAGGCTAGTGGCTCTGCAGGGCCCTGACTCGCTCTTCTTGTGCATCTGTCCTACCAGGTGAGATTGAATATATAAAATGGTATCCTGAGGGACGAGCAGGTGGTGTGGTGGTTAAGGTGCTGGACACTCCCACATGGCTGACACGGTTCGAGTCCTGGACCTGGTGGCTCGCTTTCTCCTCTTCTCTCTCTCAGTCTCTCTCTGGTCAAATTAAAATAAACGAATGAACAAATACAATAAAATAAATAATTTTTTTTTTAAAAGTTGTCCTGTAATTGCAAATGTACACAGAATAACTGTTTAAGAAATGGAAAGAAATAAAAATCACCCCAGTCCCTGTGAGACCTAATTACTGCTCATAGTCGGGTATGCAACTTTGGAAGCTTTGGGGTATTTTAGGGAAATGGGATTGTACTGTGCAGACTTGCACGGGCTTTGAGGTCTGCGTGTAAACTCCCTGTCCCCCGCTGGCTGCTGTGCCCAGCGCTTACGACGCCCAGCACCACCACTGCTGACGGAGCTCGTGCTCCCCTCACTCGTCTCCTCCCAGAGCCCCCGTATTCCTGGCCCTTTGTGTTTCTGTGTGCATGTTAGTATCTGCTTGGGGCTGGTAGGTGGCCTGTTGGTTAAGGTCCTAGACTCCCATGGGCCAACATGGTTTGAGTCCCAGACCTGGCAGCTTGCTTTCTCACTTGTCCTCTCTCTCTCTCTGTCTCTCTGGTGAGCACACATGCCCTATAGCAAACTTAAAAAATAATAATAAATAAAATTAGATAATTAATAAAAAGAATCTGCTTGTCAGATTTCATGTCATATACATGTGGGCAATAAAATGAGGCCTGACTCCTAGACAAAAACGTCCGTTACGAGTGAATTAGAGACCTAAGTGCGAGAGGCAGGACTTTCCGGATGACTCGGCATCACCCTGGCCGAGTACGCCGGGATGGAAGCCGGACGCCGCATGCCCTCACTCACGTGTGGGGCTCCGAAACGCTGAACCCATAGAAGCAGACAGAAAAATGCTGCTTGCTTGAGGCTGGAGTGGCGGGAAGGGCGAGGGGGGAGTTACTGAGCAAAGCATACAAAGCCTCAGTAAGGACGAATAAAGTTTTTATTTTTTTAAGGAATTATTTTGTTTGACTTTATTTATTCATTTTAATTTGCTCAGAGAGGTACAGAATGAGAGAGAGAGAAAAAGCAAGAAAGAAAGCCCTCAGGTCTGGGACTCGAACTGTGGTCGGCCATGTGGGAGTCCAGGGCATGTGTGCTCACCAGAGAGAGAAAGAGGACAAGTGAGAAACCATGCCCCCTGTCAGCTCCTGGTTTTCCGTTGTTGTTGCTTTTATAATTTTTTTTTTTTTTTTTTTTTTTAGGTTGACCAAAGAGACAGAGAGAAGGAAAGTGAGAAAGCAAGCTGCCAGGTCTGGGACTCAAACCATGGTCAGCCATGTAGGAGTTCAGCTGCCTTAACCACCACGCCACATACTAGCCCCCTGGTTTTCCATTTTTAAGAGCAAGGGCTCCTATTGGATGCTGACTGGGACCTGCTGTGTGTTTTGTTTTGTTCTGTTTTTAATTTAGGGTGCAGCGATACTGCACATGCACCCACAGGGAGTGACAGAAGCACCCTCCAAGGGCTCAGTCATACCGAGGCCCTCCTCCGGCCCTCCAGGGGCTCAGCTGCACCGAGGCCCTCCCCCAGCTCTCCAGGGGCTCAGTCACTCTGCTCCAGGGGCTCAGCCGCACCAAGGCCCTCCTCCGGCCCTCCAGGGGCTCAGTCACTCTGTTCCAGGGGCTCAGCCGCACCAAGGCCCTCCTCCGGCCCTCCAGGGGCTCAGTCACTCTGTTCCAGGGGCTCAGTCGGCCGTGGCCTTCCTCCAGCCCTCCAGTGTATGTGCCTGGTGCATTTTCAGGTCCACCAGGCCAGGGGCCCGAACCACTGTACACCCTGCATAGCTTCCACTGCAGTCCTGTATGCTGCCAACTGCGCCACAGAGGCTGGACCGGGAGGGGTGCGTTCTGAGCCCTGCTGTACAACAGGGTGACATAGGCCGTGATAACATATTGTGTGCGGGGGTTTTTTTAGGTTTTTGCCACAGGGCATGTGTGTCTTTAAAAAAATCATCCCCTCAATGGCCGTGCTGAAACCCTTTCTCTTTCATTTTCCTCTCAGGATTTTGGGCATGCATACACAAGCACCCAGCATGTTTTTCAAGCCGATGGGTCTGGAATTCGAACGTATTCGTCCATGTGGGAGTCCAGTGCCTTAACCACCATGCCACCTGCTGGCACCTGTACTGTACATCTTAAAATAATCAGCAGATGGCATAGCAGTTATATCACTGAACTCCCACGTGGTCGACTGAGGTTTGAGTCCCATATCCAGTGTCTTGAAACTCATGCCAGGCACATATGCATGCATCCCCAATATCCTGGAAGGAGAATGTAGGAAAAGGGGCTGGGGCGTGCCTCCCCCACAAGGTGATTGGTCACTTTCCCTCTCACTGTCTCTATCTCTCTCACCAGGAATTGCATATGCCCTAAGGCAAAAAATTTCTAAAAAAAATAAATAACCAAGAGAATAAATTTCAAATGTCCTCACCTTGAAAAATGAGAAGTAAGGAAGGTGAATCATTCCACATTGTACACATATGTGAAAATCACATTGTATTTACACAATTATGGTTTGTTAATAAAATAATATTAATTTTTAAATGTTAAAAAGGAAGTATTTATTGAATTATATTTATCAGTATTAGTATTTTTAAAATGTTTTGATATAGGCACTCACCACAGAGAGAGAGAGAGAGAGAGAAAGAGAGAAAGAGAGAGAGGAAAAGTGAGAAAGCAGGCTGCCAGGTCTGGGACTCAAACCAGAGCCAGCTATGTGGGAGTGTGGAAGGCCACATATCAGATCTTGCACACGAACAACTGTTCGTCCATTTTGTTCCCTTACCCCAACATGGCTGGCTGCCTCTGTAAACCTGCTTGCTCTTCCCATGAGAAAACAGCTCCTGCCAGCCACACAGAAA